AGCTGGTGGTCATTAGGCTCCTCTCCAGACTATAAAAAGGACTGCTTGTGCACACGCCCCTCTTGCAGAAGTCAACGCAGGAACTAACGTCGGAGAACATGATGGTGAGCTTGGCAGGCTGGATTGCTGCCATGGCTTATCTGTACTTGATTCCTGCCCAAGCTTGTCTGTGCCGGTTTGCTGCCAAGGACCTGTCTGTCTGTTAATTAAATGCCGTAACTTATCTTTGGCTCGGAGTGTGTGTTGGTGTGGGACGAGGGGGGGTCAGAACACCGCACTATAAAAAAGATCCTGAGACTCTGGAAAGAGGGCAGAGAAGAGCAACCAGGGTGATCAGGGGACTGGAGGCTAAAACATTAAATAAGGAAGCTGTGGGAGTTTCATCCCTGGAAGCTTTCAAGAAGAGACTGGACATTTGTCAGAAATGGTGTAGGGTCTTCTTAGGCAGAGGGTTGAACTAGATGACCTCCAAGGTCCCTTCCAACAATGTGATTCTGTTCTGTCTTTTTTCCTCCGATGTCTAGGAGGTGAACAAAGAGGGGGGCAAACTCCCCAAGTCCCACAAAGTCACCCGGGAGCACCGGGAGAGGCCCCGGAAAGACTCGGAGAGCAAAGGCTCCTCGCGAGACCCAGAGCGGGAAGCCGGCAAGGCCGCCAAGGAGCCCTCCAAGAAACACGCCACCGAGAACAAAGGCCCGAAGGAGGAGAAGCCCCTCCCCAAGGCCGCCCTCAAGGAGGCCAAGCTGGCCCTGAAGGAGCACAAGCTGGAGAACGCCTCGCCCAAGGTGGGGGCGCCCCCGGCCCCAGAAGGGAAGCCCTCGGCCAAGCGGCCCCTGGCGGTGGAGTCGCCCAAGCCCATGGCCAAGAAGCCCAAGAAAAACAGCTCCAAGGGAGCCAAGACCCTCCCCACCAACGCCCACCGGACCACCACTACCACCACCACCACCACCTCCTCCTCTGCCTCCTACGCGGAGAAGAAGCTGCCCAAGGAGAAGGGCCCCAGCGCCAAAGCCGAGAAGGCCAAGCCGGAGAGCGAAGCCAAGGCCATGAAGAAGCCCGTGGAGGTGACCGTGGCCGAGGAGTCCAACTCGGAGGACGAGGCCTCACTCAAGTCCGAGGTGAGGGCCGGCCAGGAAAGATGGCTCCCTTCTGCCCACTTGGGGAGGGAGGGGGGGTTGCCCAGGGCATTCGGGTAGTCCTCAACTTAACGACTGTTCGTTTAGTGACCGTTCAAAGCTGCACTTGCACTGAGAAAAGGGCCTCTGGTTTTCACTCTTAGCGGCCGTTGCATCATTCGCACGGCCACATGATTTATACACGGGCCCTTGGTAACCGACCCATGTTTAGGACGGTCGCTGGCATCCCCGGGGGTGTTGCGTGATCCCCCTTTTGCGACCCCCTGACAACCAAAGTCCCGGGGGGTGGGGAGGGGCCGATTCGCTTCCCGTGTGACGGAGCGAACGCTTTCAGGGATTTGCTGAACAAAAGTGGCGAGGGAAGTTTGTAAAAGTTGGATCAAAGTCACGTAGCGACATACATTTTGGGCTCAATTCTGGTTGTAAGTCGAGGACTACCTGTACAAAATATATATATTATAAACCTCATGCTGCCCAGAGTCACTGACTTAGTGAAGGTGGGTAGATGGATGGGTGAGTGGATGGATGGGTGAGTGGATGGATGGATGGGTGAGTGGTTAGTTGATGAATGAGTGGGTGGATGGGTGACAGTGGGTGAATGGATGGATGCGTGAGTGGTGGATGGATGGGTGAGTGAGTGGATGGATGGATGGATGAGAGGGGGGATGAGTGAGTGGATGGGTGGGTGGTTAGTTGATGAGTGAGTGGTGGATGGATGGGTGAGTGGATTGGTGACAGGGTGAGTAGATGGATGGGTGAGTGAATGAGTGAGTGAGTGGTGGATGAGAGGGGGGATGGGTGAGTGGATGGATGGGTGAGTGGTTAGTTGATGAATGAGTGGGTGGATGGGTGACAGTGGGTGAGTGGTTGGGTGACAGTGGGTGAGTGGATGGATGCGTGAGTGGTGGATGGATGGGTGAGTGGATGGATGGATGAGAGAGGGGATGAGTGGATGGATGAGTGAGTGGTTAGTTGATGAGTGAGTGGTGGATGGATGGGTGAGTGGATTGGTGACAGAGGGTGAGTAGATGGATGGATGAGTGAGTGAGTGGATGGATGGATGGATGGATGGATGGATGGATGGATGGATGGATGGATGAGAGGGGGGATGGGTGAGTGGTTAGTTGATGAATGAATGGGTGGATGGGTGACAGTGGGTGAGTGGATGGATGCATGAGTGGTGGATGGATGGATGGATGAGGGGGGATGGGTGAGTGGATGGATGAGTGGTTAGTTGATGAGTGAGTGGTGGATGGATGGGTGAGTGGATTGGTGACAGAGGGTGAGTAGATGGATGGATGAGTGAGTGGATGGATGGGTGAGTAGTGGGTGGATGGGTGAGTGAATGAGTGAGTGAGTGGTGGATGAGTGGATGGGTGACAGGTGAGCGAGTGGATGAGTGGATGGATGGATGGAGGGGTGGTGGGTGGTTGAATGAATGATGGGTCTGAGGAGGGAGTGTGGGGGCAGCAGGGGGCTCCTCTCTTTTATTGACATTCTTCTCTCTTCTTCGTCCTTTTCTGGGGGCGGCAAAGTCTGCCGTTTCCAGTCCTTCCAACTCCAGTTCCAGTTCCGACTCCAGCTCCGACTCAGATTTCGAGCCCTCTCAGAACCACAGTCAAGGTAGGAGGCCCCCCTGCCCCCCACTCCATGGAGGCTTGCACTCAGCCTCCCCACACACAGCCCGGCCACCTCCGGGTGCTGGAAGGGGCTGCCCAGGGTTGCTATGGTGAAGGGCCCTCCAAAGACCCCCAGCCTCGTCCGGTGGGTTGGTGCCGCAGCCTCTGCCCTGCTGCTGGGACCCTGGTCCTCCCGCAGAGCCCTTTGGCCCCTGGACCCCTCGGCTCAGAATCTCTCAAGCGTGGCCACTTTAAGAGGGCTGGACTCCAACTCCCAGAATCCCCCAGCCAGCACGGGGAATTCAGCCCACGTTGAGCAGATGGGTACCCACTAAAGTTGGCGGGGCAGGGCTGTGTAATAGGGGCCACCCTCGGGCCCCCTCCCCAAAGATGGCTCTCGGGCCCACGCCGGGCTCCAGCTGAAAGTTTCCGAACAGACTTCAAGGGTGGCCCCGCGAAGAGGGTTGTCCCCACGCTTGTGCCAGGCCGCCTCACCAGGGGACAGGAGGACGCGAAGGCAGCCGGGCGCCCTGCACTCAACCCCTGAGAAGGCCCGCACTCCCACTGCCCCAATTCCTCCCAGCCCCAAACCCCTTCCCCAGCCCCCCCCCCTCTTTTATTAAGCACTGAGCTTCCTGCTCGCAGGGCCGCTGCGTTCCATGGTGGAGGACCTGCAGTCGGAAGAATCGGACGATGACGATACTTCCTCCGGAGAAGAGGTGGCCGTGAAGTCCACGCCCATCAGCAGAGAGGCCAGGTGAGAGCGGGAACACATTCCCACACAAACACACACACCCTCCCTCCTCCTCCTCCTTTTTTGTGGGGGGGGTGGGTTCCTCCCAGCTGGCCTCTGTTCCTCTCTGCAACCCTTTGGGATGAGGGAGGGGAAAGGAAGGGGAGACGACGAAGCTACGATCCAGTTCAAGGGCCCTTTCTGGAACCCCACCCCCTCCCCAATAGATAGATGGATAACCTTTATTGTCATGCGTGCACAATGGCACACATTGAAAATGAGGTGGTGTTGCCTGCTCTTAAAAGTGTTCACATACATAACAAGCGAATGGAATGGAATCAGAGGATCAGGAATAGAATAGAAAATAGAGTAGAATAGAACAGAACAGATAAGGAGTAAGGATAGAATAATAGAATAGAATANGTGTCTGTGTGTGTATGTATGTACACACACACACACACACACGCACTCATCTGGGAGGGGAGGATAACATTTGAGCAAGGTGTGAAACTTTGGAGAGTTCTGCTATTTTTCCTCCCCTCTAATTTATTGGGCTTCCCTCGTTTCAGAAGGAGATTTGCAGGAGCAGAAAGTCGAAAGTGTATAGAACGCAGCGCAATTTTGTGTGGATTTATTAATTCCGGACCTTGTTGAGTGGGGGGCGACTGGCGACTTCCTAATCCGGGCCAGGAGTCCCCAATCATGGTTAACCAGAGAGGCGGCACAACTCCAAAAACATTGTGGTAGCATTTCGTTGGAGGTGGTGGGCTTTTCCTGGCCCCCCCCCCCCAAAAAAAACCTCACCTCTTGGAGCCAAGGTGGACTTTGTGCTTGGGGGGGGAAAGGGAGGGGTCAACCAACCTTGGCCGTCAGCCTCGTCAACGTGGCTCAGCCGGCCTTGCTCTTTTTCTGGCCGTCGCCGAAATAAATAATTAACAGAATTCGGTGATTTCCTGGGACGAATCGACCCAGGGCACGAAAGACCCCCCGAGTATTTTTAGCGCAACGGCCCGGAATGGGCAAAACTCTCCCTCCTCTCCGACGCCACGTAGGCGCTTCTCCGTTTTGCCAGAAGAAAAGTATTTCACAAGCCGCGTTGAGTTTGTCTTCCTCGGTTTCTCTTTCGTTTTGGCAGCCGAGAAGGGGTTGTAGACTGGGGGGGGGGGTTCTGCAGGTGGACGCACACACGCACACACACACACACGTCTCCAGAAATGTGGACAGCTGGCGTTTAGCGTGAAGGTCCCCCCCCCTCCCCACTTTAGAGCAGTTTCGGCTAGTAAAAACAGGCCCTGTTTTTGCCCTGTTCTCTGAGGAGCAGTTTGTGCCGGAACCCCTCAATGGAAGGTGCTTGTCTGCAAAGCCCACCCTATTCCCCCCCCCCACCACCACATTTGACCCCCTCCCCAAACACCAGGGCCCTCCCCCGTCTGTTCACACCTTTTGCAGCACCCACTATTTGCGGGGAGGTGGTCAGGGAGAGGAGGGGGGATGTCCAACCTTCCCGATCTTTGAAGACTTGTGGACTTCAACTCCCAGAATTCCCCCCAGCCAGAGAATTCTGGGAGTTGAAGTCCACCGGTCTTCGAAGGTTGCACCCCAATTGAACGAATCCTCCTTAAAACAAGATTTCCCCATTTGGGGTCCGATGTGCCATTTCTAGGATACAACCCCCTCTCTTGCATCCGTTCTTTGGGTATTTTAAAACTTAAAGTATTTTGGAGAAGAATCTCCCACAGGACCGACTGATCCCTCTCCGTTTTGCTGTTAGTTTCCCGGGGGGGGGGGAACCGCATCATTTGGGNGGGGGGGGTGTTGTTTTTTGCTGTCTCTCTGTGTACACAACGTTGTTTGCAAATGTTTTTGAGATGTCAGGTTGCCTCCAGCCGCCCTGGCTTTTTGGCGAGGTTTTGAGCCAGGTGGACATTTCCCAATCTGCCCAGCGGAGAAAGAGTGGACAAGCCCTGGCAAAGGTCCAGCCGCTTTCCTCGGTGGCCTCCCACGGAGGCAACCATGCTCTGCTCGGCCAGCAACACTACCGCTGGGGCCAGCCTCTCCCCACCCCAGCAGAACTGCTTGCGACCGCTGTAAAAATGAATCCCCCCCCAAAGCAAGGGCTGAATTCCCCCCCCCATAAAAATCTCAAATCTCCCCATTTAGTCACAATCCCCCCCCCTCCCTCTCCGTAGCTTTGAAGCTGCTTGGAAGAGAAAGAGGCCCCCATGTGCTTCCAGAGGGCGGGGGGTCCTGGCACTTGGCCGGGGAGGTCAAAAGGGCTGGGCTGGGGTCCTCCTGAGTTAATGCTCAGAGGCCCCTGCCGCAAAAAGGGAGGGGTCTCTTCCTCTGGAAGAAGGCCTTTGGAGAGCTGGCTAGGGAGAAAGATCCCCGCATCCCACCTCCCCAAAAGGCAGTGGCCTCCGGTCAGCGGTTCGTGTTTCTAGGGGGCCTGATTCAGGTCCCCAAATTACTTTTGTTTCTCTACCCCACCACTTGGCTCCCTCAAAGGTGGGTGTTTCGTGGTGGGGCAGTAGCCCCCAAAAACGGCTGGCTGACCAGAGGACCCGTCTCTTCCTCCCCCCCCCCCTTCCCCGGTAGATGATTCTTTCTTAGGCGCGGCTGTGTTTGTGGGTGTGATGTGATTGTCTTGTGCGTCATCCCCTCTGCCCCTTCGGACTTCCTGCTTTTATCTTCCCCCCCATCCGATGCTCACGTCAGGTGGGAAAATTCAAGAGCCGTTTCCACCCAGGCGGAGGGACTCCGGTTGCAAAGGGTCACTTGAGCCTCACGCACCTTTTCCCCTAAACTAAGACCCAGCTGGAGAATAAGCCCTCGCGTGATTTTTTTTCAGGATGCTCGTAATATAAGACCTATCCCAAAATTAAGCCCCAGTTACGCTCGTCAGCCAGACGGACGCAGTGACTACCGTATTTTCCCCAAAAGTAAGGCTTACTGGGAAACGAGCCNTAGAATAGAATAGATAAGGAATAAGGATAGAATAATAGAATAGGATAAATAAGGAATAAGGATAGAATAATAGAATAGGATAAATACGGAATAAGATAGAATAATAGAATAGAATAAATGAATAAGGATAGAATAGAATAAATGAATAAGGATAGAATAGAATAATAGAATAGAATAAATAAGGATAGAATAAGCGAATAGAATAGATAAGGAATAAGAATAGAATTAAGAAAGGCTAGAATAGAAAATAGAAGAACGAATTAGAATAGAATAGATAAGGAATAAGGATAGAATAATAGAATAGAATAGATAAGGAATAAGGATAGAAAGGCAGGCGGGGGTCGTATCTATACGACTTGAACAGGAGGCTGGACTGGAAGACCTCCAAGGTCCTATTCTATTCTATTCTTCTGCTCCTATTCTACTCTACTCTATATTTTCTTCTCTCTTCCTATTTCCTCTTCTATTTCCTCTTCTCTTTCTATTTTGTCCTCTCTTCTAATTCATTCTCCGCTATTTTCTATTCTAGCCTTTCTTATTCTATCCTATCCTTATTCCTTATTCTCTCCTGCTTGGTCTGGGGGCTCCACCTTCCCCCACTTCTCCCCTAACTCCCAGCCCGCCCTTTTTTCCAGGCTCAGCCACAGCGACAGCGACACCGACAACAGCGCCGACTCCTGCCTGCCGAGTCGAGACACGCCCCCCAGGCAGAAGGGCCCCTCCGCCAACAATAAGGTCGGCCTCCTCCCGCATACCCAGCCTCCAGCCCTGGAAAGCAGCTCAGCTGTGCCAGGCGCCTCATCTGGAGCCCCCGGGGAGGGGGGGGGATAAGAGGTGGGGGAGGGCACACCCAGCCCCCCCTTGCCCAGACGGGGGGGGCTGGGGGGGTCCTTGGAAGGGGGGGCAGGAAAAGCAGCCCCGTTCCCTCCTCGCCTGTTTCCAGCGCTGATTTAAGTTGGGAAGTTGGAGGGGTGAGAGAGGGGGAGACCACCGGGTCAGAGGAAAATCCCTCCAGCCCAAAGAGGAGGGGAGGAATTCATTAAGTGGGTTTTGCCCCACCTTACGACCCTTTTTTTGGCATGGTCGTTAAGCGAATCTCTGCAGTTGTTAAGTTAGCAGCACGGTTATTAAGCGAATCCGGCTTGCCCGTTGATTTTGCTCGTCAGAAGGGTCGCAAAAGGGAGGGGGTCAGGTGACCCCGGGATACGGCGACCGTCATAAATATGAGCCAGTTTCTAAGCGTCTGGATTTTGATCCTGTGACCTTGGGGATGCTGCAATGGTCATAAGTGTGAAAAAAATTGTCATTATCCTTTTTACCAGGGCCGTTGTAACTTTGAACGGTCGCTAAACGAACCGCCGTACGTCGAGGACTGTCTGCACTGTTTTTTATGGGGGAGGAGCGAAGAGGGAGGGGAGGGACTTCATTCCTCAATAGGCCGGCTTTCAGGACTCAAATCCCAGCCACTTGTTTAGCGACCGTCAGAAGTCACAACAATGTTGAGAAAAATGACTGGTTTTTCACAGTTACGACCGTCGTAGCCTCCCCGCGGTAGCGTGATCGAAATGGGATGCTTGGCAACCGGTTCGTACTTACAACGGTCGCAGTGTGATCCCCTTTTGGGACCTTCTGACAAGCAGAGCTGGGGTGGGGGATGCTGGGTTCCCTTAAGACCCTCAGGGAGTCGCCCCCACCACCCGCAAGGGAGGTCGTAAAACGAGAGAAAATGTCCTTCGCTTAGCAGTGGAAACTCTGGGGCTCAGTTCCGGTCGTTAAGTCGAGGACTACCTGTACACAATGACCAGAATTGAGCCCAAAATTTCCGCTGCTGCGCAAAGGACATTTCGTTAAGCGGGTCCTGTCCCGCTTTACGACCTTTCTTGCTGTGGTTGGTAAGCGAATCGCTGCTGTTGATAGATTGGTCACCCCGTTGTTAAGTGAATCTGGCTCCCCCCCCCCTCAACTTTGCTCATCAAAGGGGGATATGGTGACCCCACCTCCAATTTATGACCATGACCGTCATAAATGCGAGCCACTTCAAATCCGATTACATAACCATGGTCGTAAGTGCGGATCACGGTCCAAAAAGTACCTTTTTCCCCAACGCTGATGGGACTTCAAATAGTCGCTAAACGAACGGTCACTAAACTGAGGACTGCCTGTGTTTGGGGCTGGGTTGCTTGGGAAACGAAACCTTTCTCCCCGATTCTTCTTCCCGCTTTCCGTCTCAGGTGTCCGGCAGGAAAAGTCCGGAGTCCTGCAATAAACCGGAGAAGATCTTAAAGAAAGGGACTTACGACAAGGTACCCCTCGCTCTCTTTGGGGGTGGGCTCCTTTGCGCCCCCCCCCCACCCCCCTCCCCCGGTCTCAGATGCTCTTTGGGCCCTGAGCTTGCAGGCGTTTCGCCACCCAGCGAGGTAACACCCTCAGGAGACGTCTGCAAGGAAAACCCCCGGGGAGACCCTCCAGGGCCCCCCAGTTAGAGCCTACTGGCTAACCTGGTCTCCCCCCCCCCCTCTATTCTCCCCCCTCCTCCTCCTCCCTCCAGGCCTACACAGATGAGTTGGTGGAGCTTCACCGGCGGCTGATGGCTTTACGGGAGCGCAACGTCCTGCAGCAGGTGAGGGGGGGTCTCTGGGGGGGTCTGTCAGAGGAGGGAGGGGAGGGCCCCTCTAAGCGGTTTACAGAATTAGCCTCTTGCCCCTTCCTTCCCTCCCTCTTTCCTTTCTTCCTTCCTTCCCTTCTTCCTTTCCTTCCTTTCCCTCCCTCCTTTCCTTCCTTCCCTCTTTCCTTCCTTCCCTTCTTTCCTTCCCTCCCTCCTTTCCTTCCTTCCCTTACTTCCTTTCCTCCCTTCCTTCCTTCCCTTCTTTTCTTTCCTTCCTTTCCCTCCCTCCTTTCCTTTCCTCCTTCCTTCCTTCCCTTCTTTCCTTCCTTCCCTCCTTTCCTTTCTTCCTTCCCTTTCTTTCCTTCCTTCCTTTCCTTTCCCTCCCTCCTTTCCTTCCTTTCTTCCTTCTTTCCCTTCTTTCCTTTCCTTCCTTCCCTTCTTTGCTTTCCTTCTTTTCCCTCCCTCCTTCCTTTCTTCCTTCCTTCCCTTCTTTCCTTCCTTCCCTCCTTTCATTTCTTCCTTCCCTCCTTTCCTTTCTTCCTTCCCTTTCTTTCCTTCCTTCCTTTCCTTTCCCTCCCTCCCTCCTTTCCTTCCTTCCTTCCTTCCCTTCTTCCTTTCCTTCCTTTCCCTCCCTTCTTCCTTTCCTTCCTTCCCTTCTTTCCTTCCCTCCCTCCTTTTCTTCCCTCCCTTTCTTTCTTCCCTCCATTTCCTTCCCTCCCTCCTTTCTTTCCTTCCTTCCCTTCTTCTTTTCCTTCTTTCTTTTCCTTTCCTTCCTTCCATTCTTCCTTTTTTTCCTTCCTTCCTTCCCACTTAGCTCTTGGACTTATATGCCGCTTCCCAGTGCTTTCCAGCCCTCTCTAAGCGGTTTACAGAGTCAGCCTCTTGTTCCCCCCAACAATCCGGGTCCTCATTTTACCGACCTCAGAAGGGAGGAGAGAATTCTGAGTCAACCGTGAGCCGGCCAAGGATCGAACTGCTGGCTGTGGGGGCCTGACTGTGCAACGCTTCAGTGCAACCCCTGAGCCACCAGGGGCCGCTAGAGAGCCTGGGAAGCATTGGGAAGCGGCACAGGAGCCTCCCTGCTTTGCTCTTAAAGCAACACTGCACCATTTCAAGTAACCTCATGCTTCAATCATTATATTCTTATAATTCCGCTTTCCTCATGAGGCTCCGAAGGGGTTTAAAAAGGAGGCAGGTTCTGTCGAGAGTGGGAGGGGGGGGGACGTCTCACAGCCTAACCCCAGAATGATGCCCCCCCCCTTGCCAATGGGGATTTAGAATCCTCTAGTAGGAAGGGACCTTTGGGGTCATCTAGTCCAGCCCCCTTGCTCCCTGCAGGACCTTCTGCAGCCTCCCAGAATTCCTTGGACCAGCAGAAACTGGGAATTCCGGGAAACTGGGAGGCAGGCGATGAATTGGTGCCCCCCCCCCCCCTCCAGCCCAATTCAGAGGGTTACGGCCACCATTCAGAGCGATTAATTTACCCAATGGAGAAATGGGTTCAGGGAGGAGGGGAGGCAGCTGCAGGCCGGTCTGCATTTCGGCGTGTTGCGTTACGGCCTCCTATACATAGTCCTCGATTTACCACCACGATTGGGCCCGAAATTTTGGTTGCTAAGTGGGGACGGTGGTTAAGAGAGTTTTCGCCCCCGTGTCACGACCCTTCTCGCCATGGTTGTTAACGTCCATATTCAGTTAGTGACCTGGTTGTTAAGTGAACCTGGCTTCCCCCTTGATTTTGCTTGCCCAGAAGATCGCAAACGAGGATCACGTGACCCCCAGGACGCTGTGGCCGTCACAAATATGAGACAGTTGCCAAGCGCCCAAATTTGGATCGCGTGATCAGTACGAGACGCTGCGGCAATCCTAAGTGCTGATAAAGGGGAATGTTTATAGCTCAGGGTCCACCCGAGGGGTGTTTGGTGCCCTCTGAGCTGGGTGGTTTCCTTGGAGGCGTTTCATGACCCAGCTAGGTAACATCATCAGTGATAGAAGGGAGTGAAGTTTGTGGGGAGGAGGTCTATGAGGTCCTGGGTGCTCTCTGAGCTGGGTGGTTTTGCTTGCAGGCGTTTTATCACCCAACTAGGTAATAGCATCAATGCCAGTGATGATGATTGTGAGGATAGCACTGATGATGTTACCTAGTTGGGTGATAAAACGCCTGCAAGCAAAACCACCCAGCT